CCTTTCTCGGAGGCTCCAAGTCTGTAGATAACTTAAGTTCTCAGCATTCCCTACCTGCCCCTCTCCTTTTCTGCCCACCGAGGGCTCGAGTTTCCTTTGGGAGTCTGGGGGGGCGGGGGGTACCCTCTGAGAGGGATCAGAAACTTTTGCGGGGAAAGGCAGAGATGTTTGGGGAGGAAGCAGAATGTTATCTGCGGGGGGCGTAGACAGGACCTTGGGGGTGATCAAGACCACAGCTTCTCCGTCTGGCCTTACCCCACCACCACCAACAACAACCAAGAGCCTGAATGGGGGCAGCTGTCCAGGGGTGGGGTGGAATGGGTGAGAAGCATTTCCCTGTATCGGAAATGGGGAGGCGGTTGTGGCCTCCGCTCCTGTGGGGATGGGGGTCTTGGCTTTCCTGATAGCCTCAGTCCAGCTGGGGAGGAAGTGACCTGAGAGAATGTATTCTCTGGGAGCCACCACCGCCACCACCATCCCAAGTTGCAGCTGTCCTGCAGGCTCGGCTGGCGCCGGAGGTATCCCACCTCCACCAATAGGGCGGGGGGTTCCGGAGGTGGGGCCAGGATGCTTGGGGGCGACCCATGTCTGAACAAATGTGCTCCCAGGGGGAACGGGGGATCCCCAGGAGAGAAGAAGACTAGGCTTAAGACCTAAGGCGGGAGCGTAGGGGAAGTGTTAAGTCTGTTCTCGGCAGCAGCTGAGAGGAATTGATGGAGCCTGAGTCTCCGGGAAACAGGAAATCGGAGTGCTGATCAAATGGAAGCAAGGAGCTGCCAGCCGGGTAGAGGGCAAATAGTAAGAGATTCACAGGCAGGGCCTAAGACCGACTCAAGAAAGACCCCGAGTTACCAAAAGAGAGTACGAGATGAGGAGGGACTGAAACCCTGTACAGTAGATGGACTGGGAGAAACGGACAAGCCAGAGGGAGGGAAGGCCTTCAGGGGTCAGGCTCTGGGAGCTTCAAGCCCAGCCTTCTGCATTGCTGGGTTCCTCCTTAGACCAGCTCCTCAGAAAGTCTCAGGCCTCCTCCTTGGGGAGACCAAGGCCTCCAGGGAAGAATCATCCCCTTGGGGAATTATGTAACCTTGCCTACTGACAGTGTAGCTCCCCCACGGATATTGTAACCCTCTGGGAGTGGTGTGGTCCAGCAATAATCATCATCATTGTTAGAATAACAGCTCCTGATTCTGAGTGCTCACAATGTGCCAGGCGCTGGGCCAAGCATTGTCGGGGCATCTTCTCATTTTATCCTCACGAAATCCCAATGAGGAAAGTTACTATTGTTATCCCCATTTACAGATTAAAACAATAGGGCCCGGGGTATGGCTCAGTGGTTCCGCCTGGCAAGCGCAAGGGCCCTCAGTTCGATCCCAGTAACAAAAGCAAACAAAAGAAAATAAGGGGAAATGAGTCTGCCAAAAAAAAAATCCTATAACCAGGCAGTGCTGGGATTAGGATTGGAATCTAGATCTGTCTAATTACAAATCCTTAATCCTGACTACCTTCTTCACTGGAGTCCTCCCACCCTCCTCTAAAGAAAAAGTGATACTGAGTTTCAAGGATAGTAGGTCAGCTACCCTCCCACCAGCAAGACAGAGACCTGGTTACAATTCTAATTGGTAGCCCCTGCCTGTCACATGGAAGGAGTGAGCTCACCTGCTTACCTCTTTAAAATTCAGTTTATCTGTAAAATAGGGATGTTAAGAGGCCCTGCATGGGGCCAGGGATTTAGCTCAGTGGTTTAGCTGCCTGCCAATGCAAGTGCAGGGATCCCAGTACCCCCGCAAAAGAGAGCAGACCCTACCTGATAGAGTTGTTATGAGAAATCAGCTGTGTGAAGTAAGTAGACAAATATTGGGCTGAGGGTATAACTAAATAGTAGAGTGTGCTTGCCTGTGCAGGGCCTGGGTTTCACCCTAGCACCAAAAAATAAATACATACTAAAACATAATATACATAATAATTATAGAGAAAAAATATTAATAGAGTGAACTATATACCTTACCCTGCAGACTCCAACTCTAATAAACAGCAAAACACTCCAACGATAGACATGTAGCACGAACAGTGTGAAATTGCCCATTAAGGTCATAATCCCACCCTGACCATTTGGCCAGTTCTGTGGAACACAACCACTGGGATGGTGGGTATATATATCTTGGGAGAGTTGGGGCCCTCTGCAAAGCATTGGCAGTCCTGATGAAAATGTCCCCTGGGCCTTGTGTTGTTGGTGGTTTGTGCAAATTTGGTGGATCTTGTAACCTCTGAAGGATCCATGTAGAGTCTCTTGGATAATTCATTTACTTCACTGATCCTGAGACCCAGCCCCAAAGATGGTAGTGACAGAGATCCCCACCATTACTGTGTGAGATAGCAGAATAATGCAAACCTGTAGTGGAAATTACTCACCATCGACAACGATTTCTGTGAAGAGTGGCCATACTTCCAAGGCTATTAGGCTCCAGTGAAAAAGAGGACACCTTCCTCCCCCATTTCACTGTGGAAAGCTGGTAAAAAGCACAGCCACTAATAGATTCAGGAAACACCCCCATGAGCAGTGCAAACAACTCTATCCAGTGAGGACACCCCACACCCATGGCCCTGATAGTCCTTGCTTCCGTTTGCCATCCTGACATAGATAACATTTATCCTGCTCTTTTCAGGCAAAGGCATACACAGAACTTGACTCCAGAAAAGTCTTAATGTCCATAGACTTTGTCACCTAATTCCTAAAAGGGTACAACCCACCCATCAACCTATAAGCAATAATTGACTGTTAAAACCCTAAGAATAGAACTGGATGTGGTGAGTGCATGCCTATAATTCTAGCACTCTAGGAGGCTGAGGCAGGAGGATTGCAAGTGTAACCCCATCCTGGCCATTTATCAATTTAGCTAGACCCTGGCTCAAAGTTAAACAAATAGCTCAGTGTAAAGACCATGAGTTCACTCCCCAGTACTGCAAGAAAAGAAGGAGAAGGAAGAAGAGGAGAAGAAGAGGAGGAGGAGGAGGGAGAAGGGGCGGGGGAGAGGCAGCAGCGGTGGCAATAACTCTAAGAACAGGCCAGCCTGGAAATTTAACAATACTTTGTCTCAAAATAAAATTTAAACTGGGTTTGGTGGGCTGGGGATTTAGCTCAGTGGTGCTGCTGCCTGCCTTGCAAGTGCAAGGACCCAAGTTCGATCCCCCATACCAAAAAAAACAAAACAAAACAAAAACTGGGCATGGTGGCACACACCTGTAATTTCAGCAGTTGGGAAACAGGTAGGAGGATTGCTATGAGTTGAAGGCCAGCCTGGGCTACACAGTGAGTTCAAGACCAGCCTGAACTGCATAGCAAGACCCTGTTTATGAATAAATATGTAAATAAATAAAAATTTTTAAAGGGACTGGTGGTGTAGCTCAGTAGTACAGCACTTGCCTAGTGCCTACGACTCAGCCCATATAGTGAGTGCAGCTACCAGAAAACACTGTGACCATACCTAAGCAGAGGATGTGACCCCTTTAACACCTTTTCTTATCTCCCTGACGGATGTGTGAGGCCAGGGAGTTCAATTCCAGCAAGCCCTGGGCCCTCTGCTCCCCGACTACACTCATTCTTTCATGAGCTCCATCAGTTCTGTGGCAAATTCTCTCCCTCTCTCTCTCTTTCTCTTCCCTCTCTCTTCTCTCTCTCTCTCTCTCTCTCTCTCTCTCTCTCTCTCTCTCTCTCTCTGTTTTACTAGGGGCTGAACTCCAGGCATTCATACTGAACTACATCCCCAGCCAGCCTCTCTCTCTTTCTCTCCCTCCTTCTTTCTTGCTTCCTCTCTTTCTCCCTTCCTTTTTTTCAAGATAAGGCTCACTAAATTGCTAAATTGTGCAGGATGAGCTAGGCATGGGGGCACATGCCTATAATCCTAGTACTCTAGAGGCTAAGACATGAGGAACCCCATGAGTTTGAGACTATCCTGGGTTACATACTGTGCTCAACTAAACAAACCCTGACACAAACAAACAAACAATAAATAAATATAAACTGTTTGATCTGGACTTGAATTTGCAATCCTCTTGCCTTAGTCTCTCAGAGTGCTGGGATTACAGGTGTGTGCCACCTTGTCTGGTTCACAGCTACCTTTCTATCACTGGCCCTCAACTCTTCTTTAAAGTTCAGCCTCTGGGACACCCAACTGCCTCACCAATGTATCTGTTTGGATTCCTCAAGCTTGCCCAATCAAAAAGGTCTTCCTGAGCTCCCCAAACTGTTCCTGCCACACACAACCTTCCCTATCTCAGGAACCTACAACTCTAGTTTGTTGGTTGCTCAGGTTGAGTACCTTGGAGTCATCTTTGTGTTTGTGTCCTTTGTCTCATCTGACATCCAACTTTTCTTTTCTTTTTTTTTTTTTTTTTTTTTACTCTAGTTTGTTGGTTGCTCAGGTTGAGTACCTTGGAGTCATCTTTGTGTTTGTGTCCTTTGTCTCATCTGACATCCAACTTTTTTTTTTTTTTTTTTTTTTTTTTTTGAGACAGGGT